AGTCTTAATTTACAGAATTATTTATTAACGACCACTACGACACAGACTAAGGAATACTAAGTGAAGGGATTTTGATGGGTGATGGATGAAGAATGGATGCACTTAAAAGACATTCCAATATCTGAATTGAAGCTTGCTTTGAAATTGAGGTCAAATCCATGTCCTACTTCTGTGTGCGACAACATCAGTAGACCCTTTCCCTGGTCCTTTTCAACTGTAGACTTGGGTGGTAAATTTCAAGCTCCAGTGGAATAGCTTCTGATTTTTCCAGCATCCAACGTAACAAAAAGGATGGTGGCGAGGTCAGATGTTGTTTATCCTCTCACACACATTAAGTGTGACATGGGATCTTGCTGGCAGGGGAGCTCTGTTAACCTCCCTCAGCTGACCTCCCTGCCTGTGGGTAATGAGGCAAGACAGACGCTGTACTGCAGGGTCCCAGAGGAGGAACAGCCCCACAAACTCAGGGCCAAACACTGATGTGCCGAACTGCGTTTTCTGTTTAACTGAAGGTGTAATGGTCTGTGGATACAATTATAACTTCTGAAGGAATAAGTTCAAAATCAGAATCACATGTTTACATCTGGGACATTTTCAAAGGTGTGAATTTGGGGCTCCTGTTGAGATCATTTGCTTGTTTGTGTTTGTCGTCATCTTCTGGTTAGAACCTTCTACTGCCTTCTTCTTCTACCCTAAAAGAGCTTTTTCCCTTCCTCAAGCTGTTCCTGTGTTCCACCACAGGAGGGCAGCATGTCCAAACGTTTCTAGCTCCCACTGCCATCATCCCCATTTTAAGCTCACACACAATAACTGAGTAGTTGTTATTTAGCAATTCCAAAGAAGAAACAAGTCACTACCCGAAATCTCTCATTTGAGGGCACTGTGGTCAGCTCAGAAAGTCGAAAGAAGACACAATCAGCCTCTATTCAGTTTCTCTCAGCTGTGTTAACACCTCAGGCCTTTTTGTTTGCTTCCATAAGATACAATCCCTTTAATGGATAGTTAATACAAACTCAAAAATCTGTATAGAATTGTTTTTGAAAAGGCCCAACCTCTCCCTCAAGATCCAACGTCTCTCAGGTCCAGTTCAAGTGTTCCCGCATCAAGTTAGGGCTGGGTGGTTAATCTCGTCTCTTCAAATGTCAAAAAAACAACCTTGAGCTTTTCCACCCAAAGCACCTGGAATTTTTTACTTTTAAAGGAACTAAAAGCTTCCTTGAGTCCGTTGTTTGTTTAGGCAAATGTGTCCACTGACATATAAAAAAGCAACGGCTCTTTTTACACGTCATTTTTGCATGTGACATACAACGATGAGGACGATAGTGGATTGATGGCCCATCTGTCGGTTGCTTTCTTCTGTAACTCCATGTTGATGTGTCAAAGCACCATGAACATGAGCTGATTTACTGAGCATTCTGCCAATCAGAAATGTCCAGCACTGCAACCCCCACCCATAGAGTCCTTCTAGTTTTGAAAAGTACAGAACTCCCCCGAACTTAATTTAGACCCCAGCCCGTGCAGTGGAAACACATGGAGTTCCTCCCATGGTTCCTAGTCCCTGGGGAAAGTTATAAAAAATAAAAGCTTTGGAGAAACCTTGATCCTTTAATCGATAGTGACAGCTGAAGATAGACAGGAAAGGGGGAAGAGAGAGGGGGGATGACACGCAGCAAAGGGCCAGGGGTCTGAGTCGAACCCATAGCCGCTGCATGGCACAGCCTTGGTACATAGGGCACCAGCTCTACCATGTGAGCAATCAGGATGCCCCAAAACCTTCTTTCTTTAAGGAGGATGACATCCATAGGGCAGCTGTGGCTCAGAGGCAGAGCAGGTCGTTCCTTAATCGGAAGGTTGTGGGTTCGATCCCCGGCTCCTGGTGCCACATGTTGAAGTATCCTTGAGCAAGATACTGAACCCCGAATTGCTCCTGATGCCGTGCATCGGTGTGTGAATGTCAGTTTCTGTTCGATCGACTTTGCCATCACTGAGTGAATGTGTGTGAAAACGCTTTGAGTGGAAGACTAGAAAGGCGCTATACAACTACAGGCCTTGTTGCCACCTACTGATTGTTTCGATAACGCTAGTGGATGGATAGCCAAATTACTTGGAATTTGGTTTAAAATTACGGCTAGTGTCTGTGTTGTTGTTCTGTGAAAGCTTTCTAATGTGGGATAAAATGAACTGCTTTGATGGAACCTTAGCAAAGTGTCAGATCTGTAGTCTCGGTTCACCGCAAAAATGCATCTCCACTGAGTTTTTTGCTGTTCACACTGATAAGAAAACATCAGAACTGTGTCATGTGTCAGGCAAAAAAAACAGAATTAGACCTCTATGGGGCGCAGTGTAAACAGACCCTCGGACTGTGTCTTCGTTGCTCCGAGGGCCCAGTGATGCTCCTGAGAGGCCGGCTCTCTCTGCCAGGGTAAACACGTAAGCTAATGAATACACACCACTCATCCACACCCTACCCTGTTTTCCTAAGCCTTCCTTTTCTCTTGCAACACCACTTCTCACTCATTGGTTACCTTCTTCAGCTCAAGAGCAAATACCACATATAGGTTGCTATTTTTTGTTTTGTTGAACACACTACAAGAAGTTTTTAACTGGTTATGAAACAGTCTTGATTTCATACTGATGCTTCTGTATGACCTACATAAACAAACAAGGCCAGCAAGGCTATTTCTGTATAGTATTGAAATCAATGAAACAAGGCAGTATAAAAACTACCGCTTTTGTCTTTTTGACAATTCCTTGTAGCTGCTTTAAGGTTTCATATTTCAAGGTGGAATTCAAAACTTGTTTCCTGCTTCACATCATTCCATCATACTATTTAAAGGTAATTGTATAGCAGAGGAGAGAGCAGTTCTTCTCACTCACCAGGATTAGAAAAAAGTCTTATTTTCTGCACTTACAGACCCTAAAGATCCCATTTTATCACATTTCATCTCGTTCATTTCATCTTTCAAAAATTGCTCTATTTCATAACCTATTATTCACAATTGTACTGTACCATTACATGCTGCCAATCAGCATCAAGTGCTTCTATGCCTTATACATTATGTTTTATTCATGGGTTTTTTATATTCAAGAGGCTTCGCTGAGAACATTAGGTTGAGAGTTATATTCTGTGATAAACCGGGCTTGTGTAACACAGATCAGAGCGCTGCCATATTTAGCTCTGTACAGTACGCTGACAGGATGTACTGAAGGAGCTGGGAGGCTTCAAAGTGAGGAAAGCCCACTGATGGTACCTCAGAAGTGGGGGACATGACCCTGAGCTCCCCTTTACCTCTGTGAATGCAAATGCAGAGGAGTAAGCAGTACAAAACAAAAACACATTAGCGGCGCACTGGTTTCTGGCGTGTAGACGCAACAAAATGTTTAAACCACAATTTAAAATTGGGTAAGAATGTTGAGCGTGCAGACCTCGATGTAGTGATTTGTAAGCAGAATCCATCGACACAGGGTCTGTTCAGCATATAAACCCAGCCGCTCCTGTAATAGGCCTTGAGCCATTGTTCACCCCGGGCTCAATCTGTAAGCATTTAGTTTGTTGTTGAGAGAAATGGAAGCATGTGTCCTTTGATGACTGTCTGCAAAAAGAAGAAAAAACCCTCATTGCTTATTCTTTCAACTTTTGTGAGGTTCTGTGAAGAAGCTAATCCATTGCTATTGGTTTATTTCACCCATTTAAAGACTCATCTGAAGCTCCCCTTTGTTAAATGCACATTTTGTGGTCTTTCAAGCATGTACTACTCTGTTTATTTTTATGATTTGATGTGCTCTCAGAATGCAGTGTAGGTTGTTTCTCTCTCGCGTATTGATTTCTTGAGTTATTGACTGTCATTATTCGGTCCCTCCAGCAAGTTGCAATTGCAAGAATTAATGCAAATTCAACCAATCCCAGTGAATTGTGTGTGACTATGGACATTTTGTCCAATCACTGTAACTTTTCCACAAATGTGACCAATCGTTGTAGTTTCCTCCACAAAGCATTGAGCCCCCAACACAAACCCAAACAGTGTTTTTTTCCATGCAGTTCAATTTTCACTTTCTCCCACAATTTCATTTTAAAATGCCTAAAAACATTGCAACAAGTATCCCAATTTGTTTTGAAAAGCTTCCGTGAAATCAGGCATTTTAGGTCGCAACAAGTATTTTTCAAGTAAATGTTATTTTAAAAGTAACTTTTTCTCAGTAACACTGATGTAAAGGGCTGGTTACACCAGAAAGTTGCTCCGCTTTCATCAGTGTATGAAATAGGTACTGATCATAGGGCTGGCTGGCAAATGACCATACTGTAGATGGTAAGTTAACCCATAACACGCTAGCCAGGCAGGAATATGCTAGTGCCAGTCAGCCACAACCGACCTGGGGGACAAAGTCACTCCTCGCTAGGTCAAGCTAGCCGCTAACATGGTAGCACTAGCCTGCCACGCTAGCTTTCAGTACCGTCTAGACCTGCTCTCTTTGAAAAGAGTTCGAAGATAACTTTTGTTATGATGGCGCTATACAAATAAAAGTGAATTAAATTGATTTGAATAGTTGGTAAGCTTGTGGACTACCCGAACAATAAGTGACATGTTATGGAATAGTCAGTCCTCAGTGGAAGTAGTTAAGCTACAGCAACTCTACTCTTTACTGAAATAGCAAGCTAGCAGGCAGCAGTGGTGATCCACTGATAAATGAATGCTTTGATTAATATAATAACATAATCATAAAATAATTACTGCTCTCCTTTATTCTGTATGCTTGCTCTCCCTCTCTCTGTCTCTGTCTCTTCAACATCAGTGTAATTATTGAAAAGGTTTGTGTGTATGATATGGCTCTTTTAAGTGGTATGGCTTATCTTCTGTTCTTTAGCGTCTAACTTAAGGCTGATACACCCCCCCCCCCCAAATATTAGAATATTCTCAACCTTACAGACCATGATAGTCCCTTCAGTATTGTATTCGTAAGATCCAAGCCGGTTGTCTGACTGAGTTTGTATCTCTGCACAGAGGATGCAGGGACGTACTTCCCCAGTGTGAAGAGGGAGCCGGGCCGGTACCTGCAGCCCTGCTCGGACTCCGTCAAGGCCTGGCTGCGCAGCATGAAGAACGCTGGGAAGGTCCTCCTCCTCATCACCAGCTCCCACAGTGATTACTGCAGGCTCATCTGTGAACACATCCTGGGGTAAGACTGCCCGCACGGGGGACCACAGACTTGCCCCCTTCTTAACAAGACCAGAACCTGGTCTGCAGGGCTCACCATAATAGCCCTCATGGGATTTATAACGTAAAAGTCTCTGCTCAGTCCAAGCTGGCAGTTTTTTTGCTTTTCCCTCAACTCACAACATTCCTTACGGCTCTCACATGCCATCAGTCATTCCTTTAGTCAACGCTGGCTCACATGTCCGCCTTGTGTTACCATCATCATCACATACATATGCTACACTCACATGTATCCCAGCAGCCATCAACAGTCAACAATGAACATTTGGCTTTTTTGCCCCCCCTTTAAAGCTGCCGTAGGTAACTTTAAAAAAAACTAAACTGTTTGGTCATATTTGCTCAACCTTATATATATATCCTTATATATTACAGACAGATATAAAAAAATCAGGTTTCTCTGGCTCCTCCTAGTGCTCCTAATGGCAATTAGAAGAATCCACCAGGCCTGAACGAAAACAACCAATCAGAGCTGAGAAAGATAGAAAGAAGCTCTGGGTTGGTGGCTTTAAGATAGATGGTGGAGTCTCATTCCCAGTGTCGGTATTTGACAATTTGGGAATGATCAATGAACAATCAACAGTCTTTCTTGGCTCTGATTGGTTGTTTTCCTCCAGGCCCGGTAGATTCCGTTAGGAGCACTAGGAGGAGCCAGAGGAACCTGATGTTCTCACAGATTATCTGTGGCTCCATGAAAAAATTTAAAATTTCATTCTCACTTTCATTGTGTATGAAAGTTCTTCCTCAGCTTTGGAAGTAGGAGTTTTACAAAATATTCTTAGCACATACTAACTTATTAGATTTTCAACTTTTAAGCTTGCTAACTTTAAAGGTCCGCAAAAGCTACAAAGTTATTTTGTCAACCACTAGCAGCTAAAGTGAGTTGACGGAGACCAAAACAGAGCCAAAAGGAGAGGGAATATTATTAATTATTAATAAATAATTACTAAGCTGGGGGGAGGGGGGCGCACAATATTTAGTATCATATCATTCAAGTTTTTTATTTTAATCTTAGAGAAGTTAATTCTGGCAAATTTACGGACTTTAATGTCAGAATATTACCCTCCTCCCCTGCCTTCGTAATTTATTTATTTATTTTTTAACCTACAATATGCCATCATAGCTAACAACTAGGTACCTTAAAATCTCTGTAAGGTGAATGTATGTTACATGCTGTGCTTTTAGCTACTTCTGCTGCCAAAAATAATGAATTAATCATGTAACCAATTAACACCCAGCACTTATTGTCTTGCTTCTCAGCTTGTAGTTTAACACTGGCTTTGTGCATTAGTGGCCCTCTGTTTGCACACTGTGTGGTTTTGGCTTATTTTTGCAGCCTAAGCCCTGTTATACACTCGATCGAGCAGCAAGAGAGCCTTGAAAAAACATAGTGTCCCTGTTGCTGCTGTGCTCTAACAAACATAAGCCCTTCTTGTTCTTTGGAAGGTGTTGTTATCTCACACTGCACTCGCCTGGTTAGGTGGTCTGCTTTTTCACTTTTCATACAGCTGATTGTTCTCCAGCAGAGGCAGAAAGCAGGTCGAGTTAACGCTGCATTGCTCTGGATCAGTTTGTCTCACGGTGCCTCTGTGGCCCAGGCCTCCCCCTCACCCACCTCCTCTTGCCATTTCCTGTTAAGCAGCAAGCAGCTTGGTCATTCCTGTTGTTCCTCACCCCTCTCCCTTGCTCCCCTGCTGTTTCACTTGCTTCCCCCCTCCCCTCCTGTGTCTTTGGCCTCCAGAACCACAGCATGTGTCACCTCCCAAGGAGAGCAGTCAGAGCCCCAGCTGTGTATCAGTGTGTATGTTCAGAATCATGTTCAAGTCACTGCTTTACAAGGTCAGGGGATGCAAATTTATGTCGTGAGAGGAAGTCAGGCCAGCTTCATCTCGCCAGAGGTTGCTTGGAGAGAAGTGTGCGTCCTGTTTATCCTACACCTAAAGTGTTGTGTACCTACCTTTACGTCAGACCAAAAACGCATTGTGACAGTACTGTAAGCACTTCATTTTGAGAGAGGGCTCTCCTGCGTCACTACACAGTAGTTCCCTTTCCAGAGAAAACCATCACTGGCCTCCAGCCACTGCAGTGTGGTGAGCCGGCTGGAGGCCAGTGACAGTCAGCTGTCAGAAGTAGCACAACAAGGCCAGAGCTGTCTGACAGGAGGCTGCTGGCCGCAACCCAACAAGCTGTCTAGAGAAGCTGCTTTCACTATTTGCCACAGCCGGATAAAGGCATTTATTACCAGAGTGCTGCATAGGTTATTGATTTGTTAGTTGTTGTTAAGTCCTCTGATGTGTTGAACTTTGGTTCTGGTTTAAATGAAGTGATAACAGTCCAGACAGAGCCTTGGATCTCAACGGCTTCAACAGCAGTAATGATGTGAAAAGATAATAATCATTCAAGATGTCGTAAAACACATTTTTACTTCAAAATAATGTTAATCCACTGTATAATGATGTCACAAATATTAACAGCTGTTTATACATAGATCCAAGTTCTTCAACAAGTCCATTCAAGACATGCATCATTTAATGAACTGCAGACTACTATTAACTCAAAATCAGCATATCTGTTTGCATCTTTATTTGGGACTTATCATAACTCCAGTTTAAGAGATCCTCAACTGCATCTTCTTCTTGAAGATCCCCGAGCTGGAGATGAACTCCTTGGCTCTGATTGGTTGATTTCATTTAGACCCGGTGGATTCTTCTTGCTTTTTCTAGGAGCACAAGGAGGAGCCAGAGGAACCTGATTATTTCACAGATGACCTGTCTCATGTTCTGCTGTCAGGATATTTATTATGAATGTAAAAAGATATTTTTATAAAAATGACCGACTGCAGCTTTAATCCCTAGGCTACCACAGCTGTTTGGACTGCTAGCTTAACTTTAGCTTAGCACGATTTCAGCAGATGCAGCAGAGGTGGGGAATAACAGAATGTGGCATCGGATGAGTGGCAGGTGACTGACTTACTAGTAGTCATAGTAGTAATACATAAGCAGGATATGGGGTGGAGGATGTACACGTAGGCTTCCGTGTACCGCCAATTTATTGTGACCGGACGACCAGTACAATGTGGGGAACGCGTCGTTCAAGCAGAATCCAGAAAATAGTATAACTAAAACTACTACGTGCCTGTGGCATTGGCAGCTGTCCACGTATGTGTCTGTTTGGGAGTATATTTGAGCCTATACTGTCCACACTGTACACTTGATTGTTGTACTTGGATGTTTGGGGGTTGAATGTGAGGGATTTTTAGGGGTCTAGAGAACAGAATGACTGGATTGTCTCTGGAAAAAGAAAAAAAAATTCTGTTGTAATTTGGACCAGGATCAGTAGAGAGTGTAATAAAGTGACTTTACATGTTATTTACTAAGTCTCACTGTGAGTGATGAGGTCCCACATAAACACAGTATGTTCTGCCAAAGTTCCAACAGTTCAGGAAAAACTAACAGGAAAAATGATGTCAGCAAGCATGTAAGCAAATTGTAATATCAGTCTATTTAAGGTATACTGAGTATGTAAGGTAAGCTGCTCAGCTCACCACACAGTATGCACACTTTCATACATCCAACTGATGGGTTACATAATCATAAGTTCTCAGTAAGAAGTTTGTCCTGGTTCATAAAGCTGCTGTTTGCATCTCACCTTATATTGAAGATCCTCCTTACATACACTGTACATACTGTCTACATGCAGTAGTGTAGGTCTCCTTGGAGACACCAACCAGCTCTAAACATGCTCACTACCCCTTCTAAACTGTATCTGTATGGGAGTGTATACTGCCCTCTCAAAGTGTTTATTGGTGTAAGTATTCCCTATGCGTACACTGTTTACTGCTCCATGTTCTCCATCATCTGTACAGAGTGTTTAGCTTCACTGAGCTATTTGTGCTTGTGTAACTCAGTGTATTTGGATGCTGTCCAGGCATTGTCTTTCACACAGTGGCCAGGCGCCCATCACAGAGGTTAATGTTGTTTATCTGGCCCTTTACAGGAAGGATTTCGAAGAGCTGTTTGACGTCATCATCACAAACGCCCTGAAGCCTGGTTTCTTCTCATTGGTGCCCCAGCAGAGGCCCTTCAGGACCCTTGGTGAGTACTGGCCTGCTGCTCTCATGCCCCACTGCACTTCATCAGCCAGTGTTGAAATGTCGACAAATAGTGAAAAACACCTGTTACAGAAGCCCAGAGTGTGAAGGAATTCTTATGATAGATGATTCGCTCACATTGAATGCGTTTTCAGGAGACCGTAAGATGACTGACACCTCGGTATTTATTGAAGCTCGATCGTGCAGAACAGAGATCAGCAGCACAAGTGGAGTCACTGTGTAGATGCCAACCCAGTTCTGAAGGGTACCTCCTGGGATGTTTAACACAAACACCCACCTACCTACCCCTTTTCCACCAAGGCAGTTTGAGTGCTGGTTTGAAGCCGGTGCCTAATGTTAAAAGTTATTTTGCGTTTCGACATTCAAAGTACCGGCTCTTATGCCAGGTAATCTGGTTTCAGCGTGGGAGGGGGGCACCTTTTGGGCAGCTAGCTATGTATTTATTATGTATAACATAGATGTTAGGGATGTGATTTTGAGCTGGCACGCTAACTAGCTAGCTGTTGGTTAGCTAACATTACCCAGGCAAGCATAGCCACTAAAATCCGTTTTTTTCGTTCGTAATATTGTTTTATGTTTGAGGTTAGCCTTGATGTAAGCCAACTAGCATAACCTGGGTTACAATTGCTACAATAGGAGACATATACAGTGACATAATGATGTTGTCTCATTCCCAGCATCAATATTTGACAACTTGGAAATGAGATTTAACTATAATATTTCTTGACTCTGATTGGTTGTTTTTGTTCAGGTCCGGTGGATTGTTACAAATCCCATTAGGAGCACTGGGAGGAGCCAGAGGAACCTGATTTTTTTCACACATTATCTGTCTCATGTACTATTGTCAGGATATAGTGAAAGTTTCAGCAAATATGAAATTAGAAATTACCCACTGCAGCTTTAAGAAAGCGTTGCCTTTTAGACATTTGCAATGTCATAAATCCCTTGTATTATTTTAAGAGTGTATCGTAGGGAAACAGAGTTCAATCCAGTTGTAATCTCCTCATTCTCTAAATTTAATGTGAAGATTTTAAACAGCTGTTAGGTGTGTTAGTAAGATTTATATCAGCTGCCAACATTTCATTGGCTCAGAACCTCACCGTCAGCGATCCACGTAAGTCCAGTTACCTTCCTGGGCTGCCTTCCATCTCTTTAACCCCAGGCATCTGATCCTGGGTGCTCGTGTTGGAGGTGTGCACTGGCAGGGGCCGCCTGCTGGAATGCTCCCCTCATCTGGGTTGTCTTTCTGCCAGCAATAACACTGGGGATGCATTATGTGTGAAGACAGGATGATCCACTCTCTGAAATATTCTCTTCTCTCTCCCTCGCTCTTCCTGCGTTTTGCCACGTTGGCAGAAAAAGCATCAGCATCTGCGCCTCCTCTGGCCTCCACACACACTGACCACTCCTTTTTGAGTTGGAAACATCACTTGGTATTCTGCACTCTTAAAATTTTCTTTTTTATTTATTAGCTAATAAAAGTTTATTTATAAGAATTTGACACTGAAAGTTTATTACTTTAAGACTGATGATGAAACACTTTCCAAGCATTTGTAGAGATGAAATCCAGTATATACAGCTAATTATCAGCTCATAAATGATTTAGGAGAACTTCCACTTCTTATGTTGATTTACTCATTATCTGGAGCCTTTTCTGTGTGAGGTTTACATGTTCTGTCCGCTTTTGTGTCGTTTCCTCAAACAGTCCAAAGACATGCAGGTTAGGTGAATATGTGACTAGGTGTGAATGTTTTAGCCCTACGATACACTGGCAACCTGTCCAGGTGTACTCTACCTAATGCCCAATGCATGCTGGCTCCTCACACAGGTGTAGTGAAGTGGCTCTTATTGCCACACTTGGTTTTGTCAATGGACACTGATTCGTCCGAAGCCCTGTGGTTGGACACAAGTGCATAGATTGAAGCCTGGCAAAATGGATTCTCGCATGATCTCATGCTTTCATGTTCATGTTGTCCAAATGCCTCGCAGGTTAGCTAATCCTGGCTAAAACGATAGCGGTTGCTAGTGGATATTATCAGCTGCAGCTAGCTAGCTAGCTAGCTAATCAACATTAGCTCCATCAGTGGGTTGTAAACTCACTTGATGGCTGCTTGATAGCTACTTAATGCTGCAGTACATGATATAGCCAATGCTCAAAGTCTGGGGCCAAAGCTAACACGTCACTGGAGCAATTTTGCTCACCACTTAAGAAATGTCTTTTGATAAATTACTGTATCCATTATTGATAACAAACAGTGGCCTGGAGGGGCTTGAATTCTTTGTTAGACTATGAACCATTCATCATTTGAAAGCACAAACCATCGCTAATGTAACTGTGTAAACCATTTTGAGATCCTGATAGATTAAAGGTTAACCAAGATTAAAAGAGCAGTGTGTAGGATTTGGTCACATGGTCAAGATAACTAGTTTGAATTAAGGTAATAATTGAAGCAACAGATTTTTTTCTTGTGCAGTTTAACCTGAACAAACTATAAGCTGTGAAAGATCTACCTTGGTTTTAATGTGATATACATTAGTTATTGGTTAATACATACAAATGTGAAACAAGGTTAAACTAGCCTTGGGCTTTCTTTTTAGGTTAGGTTAAAAAACATAGTTACAACCTTGAAGTCTGTCATTTAAAATGTGCTGTAATCACCAAGTAACATGACAGAGGAGTGTATGGAAGGTGTTACATAAATCACTTCATAACCTCAGGCTCCAGAAGATATTGTACATCATCATCTTTTATGTTAGTGAAAACGCCACAGGACGTATTCAAAGCTGCTGCTCATCTTAACTGCACAGACCACATACCACTCATTCTCCTGTCTCTCTAGTCCAGTGTCCAGCTGTAAAGCTTTTACCACGAGTGTGTGTGTGTGTGTGTGTGTGTGTGTGTGTGTGTGTGTGTGTGTGTGTGTGTGTGTGTGTGTGTGTGTACACTCCCACATGTGCAGGTGCTCATCCCTGTTCTCTCACTCTCTCCTCTCACAATATTTATAGCACATTTAACCTCAGTTTGAACCTGTGGTGGCCAATACTAAGAATCTTCTTTGAAAATGCTCCTGCTGCTCTTAAATAGCAGTCAGTCAACTTAAAGACCCCCGCCTGTCCAGAGGAGTAGTTACCTACTTCAAAGAAGGGGCTCTATTGATTCCTAGATAACAGCATACCAATCATTTAAAAGGCTATTCATTAGTTTAATTACAATACTACACAACACTTACTGTCTGTTTAAATAAATCATAGGATTGCACGTAAGTGGGTAACATTGACTATATTCATCTGCTTTTAAGAATGTGGTCTGTCATTATTCGTCAGACTTTTAATCAAATATAATTGTCCTGAAATAGAAAAATCCTGGCTAAAACAGAATCACAGTAGCAACACACAGAAAGACAAGGAAACTAAAGGACCACCTAAAAAAGTTGGAGGAAAAACTATTTTGGTCTCTATAGCTAATTTCCCCATTCTTGACTGTACGGGTATTATATGAAGGCTTAAAGTTATGCAAATTATATTTGGGATACTTTGCAGCGTATAAATATATGAAGATATATTGAAGGAAACATGGTACTGTGTCAGCGTGTCTTGTTGAAGAACATCTGCAGACCTGTCTGTGCCAGCCTCATGAATAACTTCCTGGTTGCCATCAATTCACAGAGTTGAAGTTAAAAAGGAAAACAGAAAGCAAATAACCCCCAAATCTCAGGACAGAATGTTTAAAGTTTGCAAAATTACAGAAAGAAAATGCAGCCACAAGAGACTGAGAGCCTGTTCACAGGTGGTATTAGAATGCATCTTGGGTGATCCGATCACAAGTGGACTAGTGTAAACGACTGCAGAGACGCATTGTGATTCGATCACTCAGACCACTTGCCAAGGTGGTCTGGTACACATTTGACCGCGTATCTTTTGTAGTGTAAACGCTAATGCGTCCTGGGCCACATTGGAACCTACTCAACTGACATCCTGTCAGTACAGACTAAAGGTGCTGTCTATTTAGTTCACTGAAATGCAGATGATGTGTTTGGGCTCTTTTACCTGCCGAGATAAGCAGCAGATGTTTGTGTACACACTGTCCGTTTGAACTACATAAACTATAAACTTTGTGTAACCTTATTTATGACTATTAATGATTGTTAATTATTTGGGCCTTCATGTAAATTTGGGAAATGTTACACATTAAGTTATTTCTCACTTCGTTATTTCCCAGCGTGTTGGCTGGACGGCAGTACAACTTACTCTACTGCTCTCCACTGTGAGTGACTGCTGGACTGACAGCCTGGCGGCAGGACAGACGGTTTGCGGTGGGAGCAGAACGCACACAGCCATTAATGCCTTTCTCTGTCATCTGTAATGGGAAAACATCAGATTCCCACACAGTGGAAATAGCAAAAGTGTGTGTCCTGCTCATAAAGTTCAGTTAAAGCATGCCGCAGCGCACCAGCATCTCTTTTGCAGGGCTGCTGACAGCGCAGGTAAAAGTGACAAGCTATTGTGCTGTTGAACTGAAAAATAAAAAGGACTGTGATAATGGACATTAACTGACAAAATGTTCAGTATGGTACACCGCCATGAAAGCGTTTATTTGTATATAGAGCAAGGAAGTGAGATCCGATTACAAGCGGTCACTTGAGACGCATGTGGAGATGCATTCTAATGCCAGGTCTAAACTGATGTACTTAACCCAAGAAGCATGTTAATACCAGGTGTAAACAGGCTCTAATCTCATGATAATTCTGATTGGTTGATTGCTGATATGTTCACCTTCATAATCTCATGTACTGACTGTTGGAGCATCCCACACATAATCTATTTATAGAGACACAAACATACCCGCTGTTGAAACTGTCTAATAAAGTTTGTGTTCATAAGTTATCGTTTGTTTTCTGTCAAGATCTTGAGCTCAGCTCAGAAGGCCATATAGAGTCATGGTTCTGCAGCCATAAGTGAATACAATCTGGACTGTATAACTCTGCTTTAGAGCTGGAATAATTCATATTGAGTGCTCTGTCTGCTCAGTGGACAGTAAACACTGACTGCACCCTCTTGAACATCTACAACATTTTTTTTAATATTAAGTCAGCCTGCAGGGAAAGCGCTTCTCCGTGTGCTCTTGATGAATGATAGTATCAACACGCCGCTGATAAGACGTCCTTCAGCAGTAAACTACAGAGCTCACACTAAATCTGTCACCAATTCTTCAAGTACACCATCTTCTGGAAGTATGCAGCACTCGTGACCTTTGTGGTGTTGCAACCTGAAGTCATGCAATGAAAAATGAATATATTTTTTGGTACTTGAAAATGATGTACAGAAATTTGAGTTTAAAGTTGCACTGTTAGATATTTTTAGATTAACAATGGTTCAGCGGACTTTGTGTAAAAGTGAGCTCTACAGAGCTTTGTAGCAGGTCATTGTTTTGACTGCCCACAGCTTCACTGTTTTGTTGCTCGCCGCCTGCATCGACCTCTTTTCCAGTCACTGCTCGCAGCTGTTTTAGGCTGGCTTATTGAGTATGTCCTCACTAAGCCGGTTGCATTTGTAATGGGGTATTTTCTCTCAGTTTCAGCCCTCTGTCCAGGCTCAAACTGTGTTTCTCTTTCCCCAGAAGGGAGCTTTGTGTGTAAATTTAAAAATGCCAGCTTGGTGTTTCAGTGTGTGCGGGGAGCTTTTCCAAAGCGATGACGTATGCCGACTATACTGTATCAGTATAGACGTACTGTATACACAACAGAGCTGCTGTAATTGGCCTGCATTTATGTTGATTTTGTCAATGTTGAAATTACAAAATAAGGATTTTTATCAGCGTAGAAACTTAAAAATTAGTTTTTTTTGTTTTCTTCCTCTTCCTCAAATCACTGTTTGCTTGTTAAGTGCAGTAACAGAAACACCAGAAAAAACTGCATATATTCTCAATTGGAGTTTTCACTGAGTCACTTTTTCTTCTAAGCTAACATAAAACTTGTAGCCCACAAGCAAGAAAATCCTCAGTCATTATTCATGGGCTCAGAAAGGCTGGGTGTTTTGCATGGCTGAACGCATAGCTACGACATTTTTGGAGGGTAAATGTGAGGTTTTGGAAGTGTTCCTGGCCGACACATGGTGATGCGTAGTGGGGTTATACTGAGACGAGAGGTGCACAGCTGGATCTGAACGGACCAGTCACCGCTGCTCTGCTTCCTCTCACAGCCTGGTTCTCCCCTCCCCTGCTGAGTTGATGGCTTCTGAAATACAGTACGCATCAACAGCAGCTTAAATATCTTTGTGCAGAGAGTGACTACCAACACATAGAATCATCATAGCTTAAATTGGACCTTTTCCCTGATCTTTTTCCTCTTTCATCAGGAGTTTTTTCTCATATATAAAGGGGATTTATTTGAACTTTATTCAACAGAGATCAATCTTGAGATAGAAATAGGTTCTGAGAGTGTCCTGGCTAAAATGGTTCTGTTACGTTATGCGAACCATCTTGTTTAACTTGAAATGAGCAGCTAAACCATTGGTTGAATTGAACGCAGTAATATTTCTTTAGCAAAAATCTAGATGAAGAGTTAGCCTACATTAATCACATACTAATTCCTACTGATCGCCTATAAACATGAAAGATAGCCAACAGAAAATAATGTTTCTGTTGTGATGTTAAATTAGCTTTACTTACCTTTTTGATGTTGTGTTTTTGGGTTTTGTCCCAGCTGTTTTTTGTCAGTGTAATTGACCTTTTTGATCCGTCTTCCAATAACAGTTGAGCAAGCCACTACAACTCTCTCCTCTCCCGATTCATACCCCTCCTGTCCCTTCCCCGCTGTGTCGTCAAGCTCCTGGTCAGAGCCGCTGTAAATAACCTTGTCTCTGTCAGTCTCGGAGGCTGTGAACCCGGTCCGGTTCTGGTGCTCATTTTCTTATGTTAGCTCCTATGCTAGCAGTGTAAACTACTACCACGAGCTCCCAGTCCGGGTATTTCTGTATTTCACATTGTTTCCATTATTGAAGACTTTTTTTGTTTTCAAAGGTTACTTTCTGTTTAGGTTTTTTTTGTTTTTTTCACGGATAAAATGTTGTCAGTAAATACTTTTTTTCATAGGTTGTATTGACAAAGTGAACACTGCACCAGACTGAGAAATAGAGACAATGAAGAAAAAGCATGCTTGTATAACAGCAATTCCTAAATGAACTCTAGTAGTAGAGTTTCTAATGCAGTGCTTCACAATCTTACCCAACCTCTTCATGTTGTGATGTTTTCAAATGAAGCAATGCCAGTTTGTGGTTGAATGTGGCAGGTTTCAGGTGAGTTGTGCAGTTAGCCATAAACAGTATTTTTTTACTATCCTGAAGAGGTTAGCTGGTCTAGTGCCACTGCGGTAGTGGTAGTGGGAGTATTGGAAGCAGTCCATGTAGTTCACACTCTGCTGTTCTGTCTCCTTGTGGGCCGGCTGGTGAGTGCTGTGGTGAGGTTTAGCTGACGAGGTTTGGTGCTAGCTGTGTAGCAGCTGTTTGGTCTAACTGTGGCGTCCGATTCTCTTTCCTGTTCTCCAGTGAACGACGTGGAGGACAGCGAGGGTCTGCCGTCGCTGGACAAACCCGGCTGGTACTCCCAGGGCAACTGGCCTCACCTCCACGAGCTGCTCAAGACCATGACGGGGAAACCAGACCCCAAGGTAGGCCAGCCGCCTCGTACTGTGTGTTACCGGAGCGAGCTAGTCAGACCTCTGGCCGGACAACATCCCAGGCTTGCTTTGAGGTTGACTCCAACTCTGGTTTTTGGCAGAGGCTAAAAGAGATGAGGGCTTCACGATAAATCAGCTCAGGGAGATTCACACTGGTGTGATGGAGAGGAGGAACGTGGCCCCTGGCATTGACTGTCGACATGGCTGCTGTGTGCCAGCATGCTGGGAGTTCACTGATAAAACAGGCCAGACAGGGCAGCCAGCTCCACTCATACTTGTTAGTAAATGTACAATGCAGCCCATTCTTAGGGACAATGTCTGCACAGATCAAAGACCTCTTTTTATCTCTCAGGTATGGGAGAGAACTCAGCTTGATAAAAGCAAGATTCACTTTTTTTCTTGAGTCCTGCCTAACAGTGGTTTACCTGACGGTAAGATTCTGATACAGTACATCTCTACTCAAAACAACACAGCTCTGTTATAATAAAATGTTCTGTCACCAAATTCATTACTGCTCTGGGGACTTGGCAACTTCCCAGTGTTGGTTAGGAAAGAAAAACAGTCCAAGTGCCATTGGTTCCACTTTACAGGAGATTTGTCCAGCTCTACTTTCTTTTGTCGGTTCCTTCAATTATGATGAAAACCTTTGCTAAATTTATGTTAAATACTTTTTCATTTCACATTATAAGATATGCCAAGATCATAAATAAACATCAAAATCATTCAAGTTAAAAACTTGCTTAAAATGGGCCACATCTGGGATTTGTGGGAGGATTTCCTTCACATTTTTGTTGTAGTATGCTTAAAAACAATAAAATAAACCTTTCAGATAAAGACAAGGTATAACACTAAAGAGTACAAAGAGAAGGGCAAAAGATGTCAGAGCGAATAGACTCCAAAAATTGCTGAATCATCTGAGCCCTCAGCGGTCTGAATTTGAGCCAGCCACAGAAACTGACATTAGACAGTCTACTGAAAGCTGCTTGGCTTACAGAGGAGGGGAGGCTTGCCGTCCCGCACTGGAATTCCTCATCTGCTGGGAAAATGTATCAAACAGCAAGTCTGTGAAAAAATCACTATGAAGAGGTGTCACAGTTTCAAAAAGTTTAGAAAATCGTGTCTGTGAGATCACACCCATATTAGAGTTTGCACTAAATATACAAGTGACTACTTATTTGTAATATTTTGAAATCCTGCCCGCTGTCTTCTCTTTAATTCCAAAGAATGACTTCATGTCTGATGCATAATAGTCAATTAAAAGAACACTGTAAGGGCAGGGTTAACCAGCATTTATTGCAGCAATGTTATTATGATTATTATGTTTGGGGTCATTGTATGTATTTGTTAGATTGGAATATGAGAGAGATGTCAGGAAATGAGGAAGAGAGGTGGGTCATTAAGGTCCTCAGATGGATTTGAACCGGGGTGATGTAGTTCATGGTAATGGAGCCACGAGGCCATTACTGCAAAATTTTGACCAAAATCTGTTCATTTCATTGGGATTACCACGATCACTTCACTAGCATACCATTCCCCCGTGTTGTTTACTGTTTAGGGAACTTTAAGTCCATCATGTAGGAAGCTGCAGTATTAGCTGTGTCATCCAATTTAGTATAAACCTTCACAGAAAAGATGTGGGATTGTTTGCAGTCAGGAGAGGATGCTAAAATATAAAAAATGTCTCCTGAATAAACTGTGGTTCCTTTGTTCTGGTTAATGACAGATCTGTTAGCAACCCAGATAGCTTATTGAGCCATTGGCAGGCTATTGCCAGTGTGTTACCGGCAAGCTAGCATGTTTTTATTTATTGATTGATGGATTTTCTTATTTATTTATTTATTTTTTTGCAGCCACTACCTATAAAAGACCTTTAAAGCAGTAGTAACTCATCTAGAAGTAGAAGAAGTAGAAAATGATGGGTTATAGAAACAATGTGAGAACGATGGCCCAGAGGGTAGCACTGTTGCCTCACAGCCAGAAGGCTCCGGTTCGAATCCTGGCTGGGCCTTTCTGTGCAGGGTTCCTGTGTTTGCATGGGTTTCCCCTGCCATCAAAACCAGGTATGTTAGGTTAATCCCGTCAGTAGGCACTGGCTCAGAACTGGAGTTGTCTGTGGGGCTGCACATTGGCCGCTCACTGCTGCTGGATCAAATATCCAAATAGGGATCAATAAAGGATAACCAAACTTTATATTTATAGACAGGCACAGGGATAGGGATAATATGTAAAAAATAGGTATAACATGGTAAAGTGAAAACACTTACAACATTGTCCCAAGATTGGAAGACAAAAGAAAAGAAACACAAGACTTATACCATAAAAACTGAACAGCAGTAACCTGACACCCAAAAGCACATCCACAGTTTAAGAACATATAAAATAACTAAATGAGAAAACAAGGACAGCTTAAATAACAATGTCTTTGCAAATTACATTATTGCTATTATGAACTTACCCAGTTCCATAAGCAAGCCCTAACCTGACATGTAAAAAAGGAACCTATTTGGCTCGGCAAATTAATTTTTGCTGTGTCATTTTCTTGTATGACCATGTACTTGTGTAAAGCCTGTGGGTATTGTAGTTTCCCACAGGACTAAATAAGAAAAAGAAGAAAACATGACTGTGGAAACCCTGACTGTGCAGTGAAGTCCACCTAGCAGCACCCGTCATCGTCCACATTCCCACCCCCTGTCCCCCTCCTCCCAGCCCCTCTGCTCAATGCCCCCTCTGTTCCCCAGCCACGTGGAGAAAGCGCTTGTGGAATTCAGTGTCAACCTGCACTTATGGCTGCTTTAAACACTCCTCCGGGGTGACCTGAGGCACTCTGTGTTTTCACTTCTCTCCACTTTCACCTGACAGGACTTAATGCAGGTGGGCTGAATAGAGGCATTCAGGGACGATTACAATTCCCTCTCAGCACAGTGCTGAACCTGATGGGGTCATGGCGGAGCTGACGAGACATGATCGTGGAGATTCAGGTCCGAGAAGCGTAGTTGTGATCATTCTAAAGCGTCTGTGCTGTTTTTATTAGTAGTAGCGGAGTTTGGATTTAGGGCTAGCACAGTTGGTGACTGAATTGTGATTCAAGCCAATTGCAAGCCAATGACAGAGTGGGTAAGGCTTTATCCAATGGGTTGATGATTTCTTAAGAGCTCACTCGCTGGTGAATGATATAGATGGCTGGCTAGTTACATCTTAAAGCTAATGTGAGCAAAACATTAGCTAACTTCAGCCTATTCAGTTAGTTGCTATCTGCAACTAGATCCTCCCCACTGGTCCTGTATTGTATTATAAATGTCTATATATTTATTTAACCTTTATTTAACCAGAAAGTCCCTTGAGATTGAAATCTTTTTTCCGAGGGAGACACCAGTTACAATTTGAGTAGAAACAAAAACACAATCGACAGGGAAAACAAACATCACAGACACAAGGAAAGAACTAATTTTTCTTATTGAGATTTTTTTTTTTTAGGGGTTTTTTTTTTTTTTTAAAATTTTTTTTTTTTTAAAATGAACAAAAAAAAAAAAAAAAAAAAAAAAAAAAATAAAAAAAAAAAATAATTATAATTTTTTTTATACATCCAGCTCAAATAAGGCAGTTGTAACACTTTGACGTTTTGGTCATTTTAACTATCCGCCCTATTCAGCTTGATCTCATTGCAAACATGCATTGAAAACACGTGTGATGATCTAATTCTTTTGGCAGAATTTTTCTCAACTTAATGGGAATATAATATTTCAGGACTGAATATGAGACCAAAAATGAGAATGGCCCCCTCCTCTCCCTGTGCTCTGGGCCCCACACAGTGTGCAGCACAATGGGCTCATTAAGGTCCCCCTGCATGCCTGCAGCTCTGTTTACCTGGCCTGGCTTTAGATTTAACTGCTCCTCTGAGTGATCGGCTGATAAGAGACGTGGGTCCACAGGCCCACACTGCATGTCATCTTAAAGCCACAGTAAGCCATTTCTGATAGCATGAGGACACAGGAAATGGACTCATCACTGAGACACTGAGCCACAGGGGCATCGCACTGGGGTCCTTGTCTCCGACCTGCCCACTGTTTAATAAACCTATAATCCCTGGTTTGGCTTTCCTGAGCTCCTCGTCAGCTCTTTGTGGTTTCACCGGAGACCCAGCTAGTTTAACAGTGTATCTGTATCCATCCACAATGAGTCTCTTCTATAACATGTTGCCTCTGTGCTGGAATCCCTGGCCTCTGTAAATATTTATCATAGTGATCCCATGACTCCGGCTGCGGCGCTGCTGAGCAATGAGAGATGCTGGGCTTTTCGGGGTACGAAGACCAGCTGTGGGCAGTTCTGGGAAAGTCGTGGTGGAAATGTGATTCCCGCAGCCCCCTCCCCACAGGCCCCGGACCCGCAGCAGCCCCGATTAGCCCCGTCTGTTTGTTTACATGTGGAAGGGCTGGCCTTAGACACAGCACACAGCTCTGTGAGGGGGAGGGAAGAGACGCAGCTACTGGAATGCCTTACATCCTCTTTATGGCCCTTTGACTCCTGTAGAGAGGTTCGATTTAGTCAGACACACTAATAAACTATTAGTTGTTCTGCGTTATCAAGCTGATGATAAAGAGCAGGATTGTCTCTGGATAGCTTTCCCATACAGATGAGTTGTACACACAGTAGTGAGCCTAAATGCAAGGTCTTCAGATTTCATTAAGATGGGATACTGCCTGTGCTTGAGAAAAAGAGAGAAATATTAACATTTTCAGCCTTGAGCTACAACCTGAATATGAGAACCAGGCAGCGAGAGAGATCACATTTTGATCTGATATCTCTGACACAATGAAGGCCTTATTTTAAACTGTTATTTTAAAATGATGTGAGTCATTCTCCGAGAATCAGCATCACCCTCACTCTGCTTTACAGAACATTTAGCCTTTGTTTGCTCATTGTTTCTGCTTTTCTAGCCTAGTAGTTTTCAAACTGGGGTTCTTGAGTGAGTTGTAGGGGCTCTTCAGAAAATAATGAAAACTGAAATGATATTGTGTACAAACTAAACTAAAATAAACATATACAGGTAATGTCTTTAGTTTTAGTTTTTATCAGTTTGGTTGAATTTCTCAATACTACAAGCATGAGGAGGTGTTGGCAGATATGGCACTGTATGTTTATTGAGACTAGGATGTCTACATGATTGGGTGTCACTTGCCTTCACAAAGTGTTGTGTTTTTTTTTGTTTTTGTAATGTAATACCTGTTCTGAACATCTTAAATCTTGCCCTGACAAACACTGCTATATTGTTATTATTGAAAAAATAACTAACTAACTAACTATGATCGAAGGTAAAACATCAAACTTTAAAAAAAATAAAAACTAAACTAAAATGAGTAAACCCACTCTGGGTACACACCAACTAAAACTAAAGTGAATTAAAAAACAAAAATTAAAAACGAAATAAATGAATTTGGTGAAAGCCTCATGCTGCTACAATCCTACAAGCAACCAGGGACATTGTGGGCCTTTCACTTTTCATCCTCTTCTCACTGTAAAGCCTTTCCCCTGTGTACAGGGTGTCAGCAGACTTCTGCGTCTTGTCATTTTAATCTCCGGCATTCTCCACTCCTCACTCTATTTCCTGTCCCGTTTGAAGGGATTGGGAAAAAACAGTTGTTGAAATGGGATTTAAAGCTTTGAGCGGTGTGCACCTGCACTTCAGTGTTGGAATGCACCTCAGTAAGGCCTGCCTCGGCTTGCTTTTCTTTCCAGACGCTGAGGACAAAAGAGATGTGATGGTCAAAGAGGTTGTGATGAGTTTTGCAGACTCGTCGTGTCTGGTCTAGTTTACCCTTGGGGGGGCCGTAAGACGTATGCCATCTGACTTTGACTGCTGCTAGGAGAAGAATTCAGCTTAAGTGCAGCTTTACCACAACACTTAGTGAGGCTGTTCAAAGTAAACAAGCTGTCCTCTCTGTCACCTTTTTTTCCCTCCCTTCCCCCCTGCAGGTGGTGTACTTTGGAGATAGCATGAGGTCGGACATGTTCCCTGCCAGCAGCTTTGGGAAGTGGGAGACAGTGATGATTGTGGAGGAAATGGAGGGGGAGGGTGTCCCGAAGAGCGACGCCGCGATGTCCAATGAGGCCCAAGTGGAGCCGCTGGAGAAAAAGGGAAAGTTTGAGGTAAGTTCACTGAAGCAGCTGTTTCCGTTTAGCAGCCGTTCCCCCACCCCAACCCAGCCTCCACCCTTCAACCCCCAACCCCCAACACTGTCAGCTTCTTCCTCTTCCTCTGGCCTAATGCCACCACACAGCCCTTGTGTTAGTGGGTGTGTGTCTATCAGGGTTCTTTTGCATGACCAGCTTTCACAGGTTTAGGTTAAAGATAGGGCGCCCAGATAGCTCACCTGTACCAAGGCTGGGACCTTGCTGCACCAAACATGGGTTCAAGTCCGACCTGTGGCCCTTTGCTGTGTCATCCACTCTCTCTCTACCCCCCTTGATCAATTTTGATACTTTTCTTTTTTCGCTGTCCATTGTGAGTCTGACACTGTTATAGGAGTGCAATACTACATTGGTGGAGTACTCTTTTAAGCCTGTGAATGGGGACATCATTTCAGTCCTCACAGAGCCGTTGAAGATTTTAATCAGCAGGATGTTGTGATCCTGACAGTCAAAAAGCGAGGAGTCAGCTTATCTTTTAGCAAGAAACACCAGGACCAGGAGCTGTTGTACTCTGGCTTTTAACTCCAGTTAATTACAGCTTTGGGTTTTATTTTCATATGTTATATCATAACTGTTATGATAACATTTTACTCATCAAAGTATTTGCTGGAATCTTCTGGAACAGAGCCATGACCGGATTAAGTCCAGCTACTGCCGTCTGTGCAATGTGTATGTACGCCTCCAAGTCAGCATTAACTCCAGTGCTTCATCATTAATGCTTATTGCTGTTTGCATGTGGTATTTTTATCAGATACAAGTTTCTTGTTTCCACCACTCAGCCTTAGAGAAATGTGTGAGGAGCTCAGACATCTGTAGAGAACTCAGAGTAGTGCCACTGCTTCTTCACGTTCAGGTGGTTCGGGCATCGGATCAGGATGCCTCCTGGGCGCCTCCCTTTAGAGGTTTTCCGGGCACGTCCAAGTGGTAGGAGACCCCGAAAAAGACCACAAAACACACCGGAGAGATTATATATCTCATTTGATGGCAATGATGAGGCAAGATTGGAGGCTTGTGCAAAGTAAATATACCAGACGGCTGTGCTGAATTTATCAGGAATTCCAGAACAACAACTTGGATTTAAACAAAGAAATGAGGATAAAGAGGAGGTGTCAGAGTAAGGCTCTGAAGAGGGTTTGGGTAAAAGGTTAAGTATGATATTACCTTCATACAAACCCCGGCTGCTTAGCTTTTATACTTATTTGTGATACATTATGTAACTTTTAAAGTTACATTGGAAAAAGGCTTTTGGGATGAGGACTAACCTGTGTGTTTGGCCAATGTAACAGTGTCGGTAACGTTGGCTGGAGTGGCTGAAGTGTAAACTTCCAAAAAGCAGGAGAAACACTTTTTAAACTGTAACCACACATACTAATGTAGTCAGTTAATGATGTGCTCCTTGGCCATTGAAATGAAGCTCTTTTAGTGTTGTAGGTAGCAGACGTGCTAACCTCTTGATCTTGTTCTAAGTTCAACCCTGGCACATCCCTTCAACATGTGGAGGGACCTGTAGACCGACCTGTCGGGCCTAGGTCTGGTTGCTAAACTAAGATTTGATAACTGCTGTTTGGGCGGAGGTTTAGTGAGTGGTCAGTTAACCTGCTGAGTTATTATATGTTATATATACATTCATTTTGAACATTTGAATTTGCAACACTGATATGACATCTAGCATAGCATTAAAGCTACATGAGCTATTTTTTTAATAAAAAATAACTGTTTGTCATATTTTCTGAAACTTTCACTATATCCTGACAGTGAGACAGATAATCTGTGAAAAGAAATCTGTCATACTACATAATACTACTGTCAGGATATAGTGAAGTTTAATATAGCTGTAAATAAAAGAGTATAAAATATGCTTGTATTAGTTCCTGATACCCATCTTACAGATGAGCTCCTCTAGTGGATCGAGCCGGATGAGAACAACATCACTGACACAGATGAAATCTTGATGATGATGAGAAAGATGACTTCCTCTTCCTGTGGTTGAACCCCTTTTCATTTATCAAGATTCTCTTAAACACCCAATGTGATCGTACATGGTGCTAACACTGCTTTGGTCTAATTCCCATGCATGCACTTCATACTGCAGAGGAGGCACTGTAGGTAGCTAGGCAGACAAATAAGCAGTGTGTTTTGCTTAAGGACTCTGTTTTATTAGGTCAGAGGTTTCTGCTTCAGCATGCTGAAGTCTTATTAATTCCCCATTTTCAGAAATACGTCAGGCACTACTTACTCCTCCTTACTAACTTCTACTTTGTTCCGCTTTTTGGTTCCTTTTCAAATATTACATTCCAAATTATTTGGTACAAATCTCCACGACTGTGTGACTGTCCTCTTTGGCTGATATTGCACAAAGCACTCTATAATCATTTCCGTTTTTGAGGTTTGTATATTATCACGTCCTTCCTTTCACATGCTGTTGTTCCAGTTAATGTGACACAACATATTTCTGCCTTTAAAATGTATTGATGTTCTATGAGTGATCATGAGTTAAGTGCATTTCTGAGAAATAATGATTCATGCAGTAGTCAAAATAACCTTCAGAGCTGCTTGGGTTAAAGCCAGTTTGAAGTCTTGTTATACTCCCCATGCTCAGGGTTGAATTCCCTTCTCCTTTTATCAGGTCTGCACATGTCTGTAAATGAGTCTTGACAGTTACATAGTTTGGTTTGTGTGTCGACTGTCTCAACAGGAGCAGGGCATGAAGGCACCCTCTGCCGTGTCCAAGCAGTGGGGCTCCTACTTTGTGGACGTACACAGGAGTGGAGGAGGGGACGAGGAAAGCCAGAAACTGACTTGGTGCTGCCACTGCATTCACAAATATAGCACCATGGCTATCCCTAGTGTGGAGCACATAGCAGGTATGTGGAAGGAGATGGAACACAGTGCAGTGTCAAAGCTGTACTCATAAAGCTGGGAGTGTGGCTGGCACAAACAAGTATAACAACAGATTCTATGTCTCTAAGTATAACAAAAGATTATTCACCAGTATCATTTTTTAAACAGACTGTTTTCAGTCACTAAATAATTTAAACTGTCAGTGAAATTCAATGCTTCCTGCAAATGTTTCAGATTAAAAGTCTAATACGCCTATGATTGTCCTTCATTAATCAGTTCAAAAATCTATATTCACTGAAATCCTACATATCTACCATTAATATAGTGATAACTTCCATTTATCCAATGAACACACTTTATACATTTAATATAATTCCTTCCAACTGTTACATATTGTATATGAGTCTGGACCATCAACTTATAAAAGATGGACATTGTGTCTCCACTTCCTTCAACTGTACAAAAACAAAGCCAAAATCCCCGATACAGCCGCTACCATCTTTCACTACTCTGAGCCAGAGTCTGCGCATTAGCGATGGTGTGCTGTGGTATTGAGGTCCCGCCGATAAGTCCTGCTGACTCAGTCGTGAGCAGGGCTCAGCTGTCAACCATTACATGAAACCCCCTTTTTATAGCTTCACATAACTAATTAAAGCCAAACTGATCAAAAAAATGTAGTCTGACCCATGTCCCATCTGCTAACACGGAGGCATCGGGCACCCGGGGCGATCCACACTTTGAAAGAGCTGACATGTCTTTTGTCTTTATATATGTCAGTGGTCTGGACAGACATGGATGTGAACTGTAACTTGACTGGTTGGTGAAGGCATACAACCAGGGGGCAGTAATTCTAGTTCCTACAGGGGAAGCTAGAACAAGAGAGGATTAAGTATAATATGTTTGTACTGACGGATCAAATATATTTATAAAACAGGTAAAATCAGCAATAAAGGTTTTGCTCTTACCCAAGCCTATGGTTGTCTATACAATCCAGTGAATAAAGGAGAATTTACAATACCCTCACTTCCCTCAGCTTGTAAACATTGTGACAAAAACAAAAGCCAAATTTTATTTTCCTCAACCGAGCAATGTGAATAATGTTTGCCAGCGTCCCTTTAAATGCACCCATATGGTCCGCAGAGCATGACTATCAAACTCATGGTGTAAAAACAGGGAAAAAACAATCCGGTATTAAACTGTTAGCGGCTAAAAATCTATATTCCCACATCAAACATTCCCTCCATCTTTTCAACACAGAAACATTCTCGAGAATTAAATCATGGACTGAACGAGTCGCAGATGTGCAGCCAAAGTTAGAATTAACTGCAACCACCTCTGCTGCAGAGCAGTTCCTGGGAAAATGGTACCAACCTCCTATATAATGATGAGCTTATGGCTGTTTTCACACTGGGATCATTTGTTTGTGTCCGAACTTGTGGGAAATGATCCCAGTGCCCTTCACCGTGTCGGTCTGCTTTCACCTTTATGTACTGATGTTGCAATCAGATTGCCGAGTTCTTCTCTCAAAGTGCAGGTGTTTCCAACGCACTGGCAGCAAATCTTAATTTTTATGTTGTTTAAGCTTTAAGAGTTCATTATGCTTAAAATAAACTAGGTCTAAGGTAAAGTACCTGTTCTGGATAGCCACATGTACAGGTGGGCTTAAAATATTGCTGTCATAGCCTCCTCTCTGCAGCATCCCACTGCCCCCTCTGTAGTCCCGACACACGCTCTCCTCGAAGACCTGGTGTTGCCCTCATTTATTGAAGGGAAGAGTTGAGTAAAGTGAGCAGGGTAAAACCAGTTTCTCTAGCTGCTCTTAGGTCTTTGAACAGCCTCCCCCTTATAATTGACAGTTGTTGTACCGTGATGTATAATGTCCTTTTTGTTAAAATAAATGTTATAAACTTGGTAGTGAAAATAGGGTTGTTCAGCTCTGCAGGACAGGTTGCTGTTTTAAAAATGTAAGCACTATCAAGTCAGTGAGTCAGTGAGTCAGTATCAAGGAATCATGTTGTGTACACAGAATGTCCATGTTTATCATTCAGATAACATTAATAGTTAGCAGTTGGCTAATAACTACAAGTAAATATACATCACTAGACTCTAGACGTAAATCCCTGAGAGTTGAGGCAGAGAAGTCACACAGCTTCAGAGGAAAGTCCAGAAAAAACACAAAAAGCATGTTCTGCATAGAAAAACTTAGAGGTTAGTCGCAGAGCAATCGGATAGGTTTGTGGGCGTGCTCAGCTGTGCTCTGTCTGGGACATATAAACTAGTAAAGGAATCAGAAAAAGACGTTGGAAATGCTGCATTCAGAGCAGTCGACATTCTGAGCTTTTTGCTCACAGGGATTACTTTTACATCGTTTACGTCATTATTCAACACCTTGGTCTCAGCTAATATCAACATCGGACATTGCAACTTTATATATGACAGAAACTAAGGAAATAGGTCTCCTTTAAAACTGCTAAAACTGAATGACATATTTATTTATTTTAAATCTCTGAGTGGACCAGAATTCTTTGTTTACATGTTAAAAGGAGGATTATTTTCGGGGAGCCTTGGTAGCTCACCTGGTGCACCATGTACTGAGGCTGAGTCCTTGCCGTGGCGCCACGGGTTCGAATCCGACCTGTGGCCCTTTGCTACGTGTCATCCCCTCTGTCTCCCCCTTTCCCGTCCATGTCTCAACCTGTCCTAAGCTGCCGTCCTGCTAGTAAAGGGAAAAAAGCCCCCCAATATATATATTTATATATATATATAATATGAATTTATATATGTATTAAAAAAAGGAATCTTTTTAGTCCCACTTAAGTTTGCAGGCCTGTAATTTATTATTGTTTTATGTCAGGGTTGTCTCTTTGGAGGGAAAAGATCAAACACAAATGAGTCCAACATTCTCTGGCCTGAGTGATCCCTACCTGCTGTTTAGAACAAAGTGTGCTTTTCCACTGAATAATGAATCTTTGCTCTCGAACATTTTCTGTTGCTTTTGAGCAGCACTAAACATCAAGCATGGAACGCACAGGCGGCCTGCACATGCACTGGATAACTTGCAGTTTACTTCTCTATTTGATTTTACTCTTTCTAGATCTCCCTCTGGATTACAAGTTCCCCAGGTTTTCTCCCGACAAGCCCTGCACCACCGGCTACTACCCCAGGCCCCCGGATTCCTTGCTGAAGAGGTGCGAGAGTTTGTCATAAAAAAGAAAAGGAAAAAGTTTGGGAAAAAAGTCCTCCCTTACCCCTCTGCCTCAGGAGAGGAATGTGCCTCCATTCTTGCCTGTAGTTTCCCACCTGACCCCGCCGCCATCTGTGGAGCACAGGAAGCATACACTCCTCACCTATTCAGAGAAACCATGTGAATGTAAGCCACAGTATCTCTCTGTAATAACGCCTACATTTGAACGTTGTTTCGTGGTTTAGTGTACTGTACACGTGGAAATACGACATAATAAGTGTGTGTGTGTGTGTCTGCATACAGTAATAATAGAAAATGTAGTGTTTTTATTGTTTCATGTGTGAGGCCGCTGTTATTTTTAATGGTAAATCCGATTTCTTCTAACTTTTCCCAAATAAACTGAACATTTTATCGTCTCTTTATCCCTGAAGTGATTACCTCAAGAACGTTATCCGCTATAAGCAGTACGCAGATGGTCACAGTGTGTTTGTTCCCTAAAAACCCCTTTGGAATCATTGTGTCGGTATTTCTGTATAACACTGTTATTGTGAAGTCTTCTTCTTTTCAATATAGTTTTACCGTATGCGTTTTAGTAACCTTAACATGAGGTTTAAGGTCTAATGTTTCCCTCGTGTCAGTTTCGTAGAGGGTGTTGATCTTCAGGTCATTGTTGCTAAGTAACTGGCACAATGCTGTCCTTTTGTGTTGGCTGTTTCAAAAAACACAACTTTGGGAAACAACAATAATAATAATAATAATAATAATAATAATGATAATAATGGATGATGAAGACTATGCTAGATGTTCTCTGTATTATTTTTGGTGCAACAGTAACATGTGCTTTTTGAGTGATTGTGTAAAAATGTGGACTACTTGTGCTTCATTCATATGCAGTATCAGATTGAGATATGCTTTAGCCGACTTCTGAATGGTTATTTTGTCGGTGTGCATAGACAAGTTGTGCCATAATATTTAGGGAACACTCAGTTTGGGAGAAATCTGTGGAAGCCTGTTGCTGTCACAGAAGATTGATTTCTGGTTTATCTCTGTGCATCTGGGAAGTGTTTAGCCTGGCTTAGAACTAAGACTGGACCACAGAAAAACTGTTATCCTCTGTCCAACATGGAAAAATACAACTTGCGACAACTCTACAACTTAAAATGTTTGTTCTTAAGAGCTACCAAGCTTGTCACAAAGATGAGAGCTCCAAAAGTTACTTGGGTTCACTTGACTGCAGAGTTAGAGGTCTCCACTAGTTCACTTGACTGAGAACCGAGCTGGGAGCCCAGTTGTGCCAGGTCCAAACTGTATTCTGTCTAACTGGGTACGGTTGCAGTCCCGTTCCATTCCTCAGTTTTGGGTCTGCATGTCAATATGTATAACTGGATCTAAGCGTTCTCAGTAATAGCTATCATCTGTTTAGGTCAGTTCAGGTCGGTGCCATGCCATTGTTCACCCATTATTCCGAAACCCCGAGAGTCTAAATGTACTAAACCAAACCAAGTAGTCTTGTTGCCTGAACCTAACCATACTGCAACCGTTCCGTAATGTTAACCAAATGTTTATTATTGTTACCATGACAATGAAGGTCAACTGATGTTTGCACATCAAAATACAGTAAGATTTTAATCTTAATTCATATTTTAGGAACAGCAGGCCTTCAGGGCAGTGGGCTTTTGTTTTTGGGATAATGGGCTGACGGACCAATGGGACAGTTCTCAGATTATTAGGGTCTCAGAATAATGGGCCTTCCCCCTTCAGGTTGACTGCATTTTGGCTCAGGTCTAATTATCCTTGGGTCTGTTCAGATGAAGTCTGAATGTCCTTGGGCAGTTGGGTCTCTTATTATAGAGTTCTGTTTTGGATTGGGTCTAAAATGTTCGATACAATTCTGATGAAAGTGTGGTAACGGGTCCCAGAGAGGACATTTGAGATGCTACATGGTAGGGCTGTCACTTTTTCAAAAAGTCAAATTCAAACAAATGTTAGCAAACTGCTTTACCTTTGTCCATGAGTTTTCAATGCCAAATCCAGAATTCTTCCATGTTACTTCTCAGATGGTTTGCAGTCATCTGTTACTCCATTTTGTGTTAGCTAAGGCGACAACAGCCTAATTTGCTGAGGGCCTGGCAATAGAACAGACCATGCATCTTACAAACACAATGTTCAAGGTACAAAGTTTCAGAGAGATCGTTACATGCCTAACACTTTCTTTTGTTCAGTGCCTGAACTGTAGTTTGAATTACATTTTGACAGAGCCAGACTAGCTTCTTGGCTAGCTGCTTGCTAGTTTGCTTTCTAGTTTCTTTTAGTCTTTGTGCTAAGCTGGACTAAACATCCTAAGATAATACTGGTTTCAATCTTCTCAACTGGCTTTGAGCAACACATCACATAAGAAGATTTCCCAAATGTGGAAGTGTTCCTGTAAGATGACCTTCATCTCACAAATAGAGAGGGAATACAAGTGTCGGCATGTAAGTGAGGTTGTTCATCCAAAGTGAATTATTACTTGTGCTGTGTGTGCAAGTGTTTTATGCATACAGCTGTTGTGATTGTACTATTCTTTTCTCATCCAACCTGGAAAATTTGACATGCACATTTGCCTTATGTTGGATTCATTTGTGGTCTTAAGTTCTTTAAAAGCACAGGGAAAGTTCAATTGTGTTCCAGTGTTGAATTACTGTCAGTTAAATAAAATGTTCTACAATTTTCTTATATATGGTTTTCTCTTTTTGAGTTTTCTTTGCATGCTTCAGCAAACAAAGACTTGTGACTGTACACACACTGAGAAAACAGCGCAGGTTTAAAGGGGAATACAATGAAGCATGAGCTAGTTCATTCCCATTCATTTGGTGTAAATGGGAAGAGAAGCACAGTTCTTTCAAAGTTAAAGCATGTATGTTTTTTCAACACACTCATCTGCAGCATCCCTTCAGGGAAAAGCAGAGACCGGACATTATAAACATTTGGTGCTTAGCCCACACCTATTGGGGACTCCCCCCCCCAAATCCACCTACATGCACTATTTTTCAGTCATATCAATTCATTGATAATGGCCCAGGAAAAAATCCTCCTGTAGAGCATACGTCCTGATTTGTATCTAATTGTTCTCTACCTGTCTTCATCCTTCTGAAACCAGAACACAACAAATGCTGAAGATGACTCATTTCCATTGCTGCCACCTAAAAAGAGGCAACCATTATAATTTTTAAGTTACATAACAAAAGTAGGGCTGTGGGGGGATTTGGTATAAACTAATCTACTAACTATGGAGTCAAGTTCCTAATTTTTAGCTCTGTTATGTTCTTTGTTATATCTATAGTCCATAAGCTAGTAAGATAGCTAGCAAGCTTCCTCACTGAGGCAACGACTGAATGAAACACATCACACACACACACACACACACACACACACACACACAGAGTGGACTGGGGAAATAGTGGGTGATATAATATTTCCCTAGTAATGGAACTTTAGCTTTCACTGATTTCCAGGTCTGGTCAGAGAGACTGAGGGGAAATGACCCAAAGTTGGAAGTTATTTTAAAAGCCTAAAAGATTTGTGGTCCATGAATGAGTCCTTGCTGCTGTGGCCATGGGTTCAACTCCAACCTGTGTGCTGCATGTCATCCCCTTTCTCTCTCCCCTTTCCTGTCACTGTTCAGCCGTCATTATCAATTAAAGACAATTACAGTGAATTATTGCCCCAACATTATATTTTTAAAATGTATGTTTTTAAACTGCACAGCTCAGCCACTTGGCCACATTGTTATATTTAGCATTGGTTGCTTCGAGTGTAACACTGTAACCAAACCCTTGACCACTCATTTGTTTTATAAAACACCCATATGCTCGGTTGAAACACTGTTACCAGTTTGTAGACTGAGACTGGAACAAACAGCAAATGAATTCTCCAAGGGGAGTCATATATGAGGGATATGTCCTTGCTTATCAGGCTACACGTTCAGGGTCTATATTTCTATTTATTTTACACGTGGCAATGTGTTCAGGGACATAGTGTGACATTTGGTTGAAGGAATAGAGTTGAGGTTAAAATCCCCCTCCAGTCAAAAACAGTTTTTTCCTGAATGGAAATATTTCCATTCATTGTATAGAAAAACTAAAACAAAATACAAAAACATTTCTTTTTATTTGTGAGTAAAACAGCAACTTATAACAATGCAAATATTCCAAATGATATTGATTAGCCCGGAGGCAGGGACGGATCTAGAGGGTGCAGCTGCCACCCTAAAAAACGCCTGGCCCCAGCTTGGTGTCAAATACTGGCAAATGTAACACTTTAATTAAAATTAATTTGAATTAGTCTGTTATGGCCCCAATTTATAAGTGATAGGCTTACATTCAATGAAAAAGACAAAACAATGTATTGATTTCTAAATCCACCTTTAGATATTTCTATCCAGTGTTTTACTGATCAGTCCAGGAAGAAACTTTCCCAAAATAATGACTTAGAATCTGAGAAAGTTTCTCATTATTTTGACATGCTTAGTCAATATTTTGGCTGAAATGGGCTTCCATAAAAAACATCCAATATTAATGCTCGCTGTGTTTATGAAGCAGTATGTAGACAGCCGCCTCCGGCAGCATTACTGGGGGACTTTCTCTCCACTACCTGTGGAGTGAACTCGCGGGGCAGAGTGGGAGGAGGGCGGCCACTTGATTCATTAGTCTCCTTTAAGCCTCTCTCTCTCCCCTGCCGCCCCTCCTCATTCGCCAGCATGACGCTCCCTCTGCACTCACACATTCTTTCCCTCCACTCTCTCACTCCGTTTCGTCCCTAAAAGCGAACTTTTCAACAGTATCGATAATCTTTCGGAAACTGCCCCGCTGCGAGGGGAGGAAATGCCGCTTGTGTCGACGGGAACTCGGCGTAGTGAGCGGCTCTTCTGACAGGTAACCGCTTTTTGCTCTCCGCTCCCGAACCTTCTAGTCCGACAGGAACAAGGCTACTTTTGTGTAAGGGTTGGATTATCAATAGCATCGATAAGTGATATTACTGTTCAGAATTGACTTTGGTGTTTGGTTTATAGACGCAGGTTTGTGATATGAGGCTGTGGGATGAAGCTGAAACACTTACAGTTAGCTCAAAGTGTGAGAAAGTAAAGTAGCATCTTATTGGCATTTATCAGTGGAAGGGAGGAATGCTGCTTCTGGCTGGAACGGTTGAAAGTGGCTGACAGAATAAAACCTCTGCTGTTAAAGCTTTTATAGAACAGTGTTGGCTGACAGTTTATCACTCAGAGCTATTAGCTAACTGTATTTAAACAGCACTTCATGTTTTAAAGTAACTAACTCAGACTATGGGAATAGCTAGTAAGGCCTGAGGCTAGGTAAAACTCTTGACTTAAGTTTGCATTGTTTTTAGCTCGTTATGTTTACACTGACATCATATGCTGCCATAATACATACAATCATTACAGTAACTGTGCACAGGCACACTCAAGGTTCTGCAGTAGGTCACTTTTATAAAATAACTTTTTGTCATATTCACTGAAACTTTCACTGTATCCTGACAGTAGAACATGAGACAGATCATGTGTGAAACAATCAGGTTCCTCTGGTTCCTCCTAGTGCTCTGATGGCATTTACAAGAATCTGCTGAGCCCAAATGGAAACAACCAATCAGAGCCAAGAAATTTGGTCAGTCTCCTCGGGCTGGTGGCTTGAAGATAATTGGTTGTTCCCGGGTCCAACACTGGGAATGAGACTCAACAATCAAAAACCTATTTTCATAAAAGTGCCCTACTGCAGCTTTAAAGCCTGTCCTAGCTAACAGTTGAGGTCATGTCATTTTCTGGGAGTTTGGGGGTATTTCCAACATTGGGGGACTTTATGTGTTATGGTAACACTTCATTTCTGTAGTCCGCCTACAGATTTTGTCTGTAGGTGTTTAATAGACAATCTAGTATATGTGACAGTTCATGAACATACTCTAACCAAGATGGTTTCTGTGCCTAAACCTAACTGAACCTTAACCACAGTGGGCGTAATATCAGAAATATGGGTGTTGGATCTCAGCTAATAAGCTGTTGAAATGTTAAGAATACTCTATAAACTCTCTATAGGCAGACTGTACAAATGAAGTGTTACCTATTTTATAATAAAAACACACGTCAGGCACATTTTACACAAATTGTGTAACCTTTTAGCTAAATGGTTAAAAGTAAAACCACTTTCCTGCCAGAAATACCAGTATGTTTGGGTAAATCCCAGTAAATAAGGACAAAGTCATTATAAGTTTAAAACCATTAGTTTTTTTATGAACTAATGGTTTTCATTATGCCCGACTTTTTTGCTGCACTGCCCTCAGCACCCCTACTTCCAGCACCCATGATTGATAATAAAGTAGGTTTTAGAAGTGGATCCTTGTATTACACCTGTTTAAGTGTATTGTTTTAAGATTTAAATCTGGAAATAACTCATTAAAGAATCAAAGCACTGGATACAAAACCTTTAATACAACTGTGCTACAGACACAGCTGGTAGAAAATATTACTCTATACGGACGTCTCTGTAAATTGTATTTATGGTATTATGGAGACGGCTTTTATACACATTTACACCTTCCTTTTTGAGAAATATAATTTTGGGGCTGCAGTTAACAGTTATTTTCATTATTCACTAATCTATCAATTGTTCTTCCGATTAATTAAAAAAATTAAAAAATCTGATGATGAGGCCGCCACATTACCTTGTTCGCCTTTGACTACTCATCCTGGGTATTCAACATTGGAACTGATTAACCAACTCCAGTCTATGAAATATCTTCAGATGCCATGCCCAAAACCAAGAGATATTTATGCAGTGATATAAAACAGAAACAAGAAGTAAATCATCACATTTGAGAAGCTGGAACCTGCATGTTTGGCATTTTTAATTTGCTATAAATTTTTTCTCAAATGACGAATGCAATTAAATGCATTGAGCCTCAGTAAAACTAGCTACAGTACAGTTCTGGCTTTAAGCACTCATCAGAATACAATGCAGTAATGCTGTTGTCAATAAGAATGTCTTAAAGACCCATAACAGGGTCTACCAAACATTATCCATTGAGTGTAGAGTTATGGCCCAAAGCAAGTAAGTTTTAGATCAGTCTAATTCAGGCTCAGTAAAAATAGATCCCTGGCTGCTGCCACACTTCCAGCTTTAGTGTGATAAATCAGTTGTCTTGGCCACTATTCTCACGTTCACCACAGAGGAATGTGTCTCCTCACAAGGGCTAATGTCAAAATTAACTTAAGGAGAGGCAGTCATTTTATACGCCATCTTCAGTCTTTCCTTGTTTATCAAACACAAAATGCAACACCCCGGACAGCTCACTGCATCAGAATGGAGTCCGGTCTAGACGCCGTTTAAATCACTACCAAAAGCTTTTCCACCGGGCCTTCGCCAACAGCTCCACTAAGGTCATGGAATTTACTCTCATGTTCAGAGCACAGACTGTGGGCCAACTCTTGTCTTTCTGTAAGCAGCGCAGTTTGGTTTAGAGGCTGTTTCAGTGGACCAGAGTAATGTTACTGCGGTAATGGGCCATTATGACCTCCAGGCCTGCTCGTCTGGCCATCTGGGTGTGCATGGCTAGACTTGTCTGACAATGGCAACTCAGAAATAAATGTTGGAGAGTGAATATTAGGTAACGCAGTGTGCGGAGGTGTAGTACAACATCCAGATTTGGCTGCTAGGTGCAAAGTAAGGGA